GGGCCTCAGCGTCCACAGCCCACCCCTTCACAGATGCAGCCGGGACCCCAGACTCCTCCAGGAGTTCCGAAGGTCTTAAGGTAGAAGGGAGCCCTCTGTCTCTGCCCGGTCTGAGCTACTATTTTGGGGGGTGGGGATGCCCCCACCCCAGGGGGATGAGACGCCTGGGTCTGGATTCTCAGGCTCCCTGACTCAGGCCCTGGGGTCTCTGCGGCAGCCCTGCTGGGAGGTAGGGTCTGAAGGAGTTGCTCTCCAGGGAGGCAAGCTGCACCACGGGTGGGGGTGGGGCAGGGAGTTGGGGGGTGGAGGGGGATGGAGGAGCAGTCTGGGCCCGGAGTGACACTACCACTTGATACCACATCTTCCAATTTCTTCTATTAAAAAGTCTGCTCATTACGGGCATGCACTTATTAATTATCTCTGATTTGTTGTGAAACGCATGGGGTTTACACAACAGGAGCGGGAGGAAACAAAGCCCAGGCCGGGGCGCCCGCTCCCTGGCCTGCCCTCCGTGCCGCCTGCCCTGGCCTGGGGCCTGCGCCTGCCAGCCACAGTGGGTTATCAGCCATCTATCTGCATGTCCATCGTCATCGCAGGCTGCCCCGGGGACCAGTCATATAAACGGGCTAATTTCATGTTTAATGATCTTTAATCAGAACTGAGCGGGGCTGACGGAGGCTCTTAGAAGGTGAGGCTGGTGCCCGTGAGCGCCACCTGCCCGGAGGGGGGCCACTCCATCCCCACTCCCAGCGGGGCCATTGTCCAGGATGCCCTCCCCAGGTGCCCCTCAGCCCTGGTCAGTGCATGGGGCCTGGGAAGCTCCTCGCTCACTAGGGCTGTCTCCGCAGGGTGTGGCTGATGGTGCCTGCCCCTGAGGGGTCTGAGGCTGCAGCCTGGGGAGGGGGTGTTGGAGCTTGTTGCTGGGGGCAGTTCTGGGATGCCTCCCAGCAGGGAGCCAGGGAATGCAGGCCACTGGCTGGACACGTGGGCAGGCTGGCATGCCTGGCGTTGTGCCTGGGGAGACCATAGCTGCTCAGTCCCAGGGTGGCTCCCCGGAAGCCTTCCATGCACTGAGCTCCTGTGACTCCCCCACCCCACTCCACAGATGAGGAAACTGAGGCAGGCATAAGTAAGGCGCCTGGGCTCCAGCCCCACCCACCAGTTTGGGAAGGCTAGAGCCCACGTGGGCCGGCCGGGCTGGGCCAGGGGCAGGGGCCCCGGGCTCCAGGGTGCAGGCCTCTCCCGGCTCCCGGCTCCCACTGTAATGAAAGCTGACATGACGTCAAACACAATAAGGAGTTTCAGTTGATGAAGATCATTTCTGAACACACAAACCCATTAAACCGAGGGGGAAAAATATCAATTCAACACACTGGCTGGCGGAAAGAAAATGTGATTTGTTATCTAAAAGGGGGTTATAAACAGGGCTCCGATGCGCTGTCCCTGCGTAATGAGAGTGGCGGCAGGCGCAGAGGGAGGACCACGCATGGATCAGAGCACGGCCTTCACCCCCAACTTCCCAACAAGGACGGGAAAGGGCACGCGCAGGTGGGGGCCCTCACGCCCAAGCTTGGGCTCCAGCAGCCTTGCGCACCCCTCGAAGGCTGTGCTGGGACCTGCCTGCGCCTGGGCCATGCCTGGGCCACCCTGCCAACGCTCCCAGGGCTCCTCTTCTCTGGCCTACTGCTTCAGGGTCTAAGTGGAAGACAGGTCGGGTGGGCGTGCCTGTGTGTGTGTGTGTGTGTGAGAAAGACAGACACAAAGGCCTCCCGCTGGGCAGTCAGGGGTGGGGTGGTGGCTGTGTGTGTGTGTGTGTGTGTGTGTGTGGTGTGAGACACACACAGGCCTCCCCTGGGCAGTCAGTAGTGTGGCCGGTGGCTGAGCAGGGTCCCATTTGTGAAAGCACACTATGAGCAGGGTCAGCTTGGTGGGACGTGGTGACGTGGGACGTGTGATCAAGGGTTGGGGCGTTGGCGCAGGGGCTGGGCTCCACCCCCGGCCTGGACACGTCTGGGCTCCTGAGCAGAGTGAAGGCTGAGGCAGACGCCACTACGGCCCTGCCGATAGGGGCCCCTCTCTTCAGGGAACTGGGCTTCCTTAGGGGTCAGGGCCAACTCCCACCCCCCCAATGTTTGCACTTCTACAGCCACACAGGATCGAAGGGACCCCCCTGGGGGGGAGGAAGTAGCCTCAACATCTGACATCCTTCTCTGTCACCTGATGTTTAGCGGTCACTTTGCTCAAAGTGGGCAGAGAGTGGAGGGCATTGGCTCTTCTGAGCTCACACACGTGTCCCCCATGCTCGGGCAGGCATGCAGAAACCGCCCGTGCATGTGGCAGTGCAGGCTGAAGGGGTGACCGTGGGGTCAACATGGGGAGCAGCAGTTCTGGCCACGTCTGCTGCACTGGACGGTAGCTGCGGGCCTGGCCAGCCGGGCTGCACCAGTGAGGATGCCTGGCCTTCCTGCTCTGGTCTACTGCCAGCCCCGCTCAGCCGGGAGGACCGTGTTCTGAGGGGGCCGGCTGTCGCCAGCTTGGCAGAGAAGCTGGATGGCTGGAGCAGGCCTTCAGGCCAGGGCGGCCACCTGTCCTCTCTAGCCGCCTCCTCTGATCTGACTCAACCTTCATAGATGCCCCAGATCTCTAGCTGCCTCCTCTCATCTGACTCAACCTTCAGATGCCCCAGCCAGAGCTGCCCTCCCACCATCAGACTTCCCAGGGGGGGGCTATCTGCCCATCAGACTCCGAGGACAGGGCTTAGCCTCCAGAAGTCCCTGCGTTGGCCCCGAGGTCCTGGGGACCATGGCCTGCCCCAGCTCTTCCCAGGAGGTGGGTTAGGTGGCAGACAACGCTGGCACAGGTGGTGCTGGCGCCAGCACTATGCCCAGCAGGCTGGCATCTTCATCTGCCCTAAGTGTTATGGGCACGGAGCACCTGCTGCCTGTCTGCTGGGCCACGGGAGGTGCCGTCTGCTCAAGAGGGCCCGGCTTTCCTGACCTCCCATGGGCTGGGTCAGCCAGGGCTGAGGCCCCTGGAGTCAAGGGTGAGGGGTCTCAACGAGACTGGGGAGGGGGTTTGGGGCTCCACACTCAGCCATCACTGCCGGCTCTGTCCTAGCATTGACCCTCGAGACTAGGCTACTCAGACTTGGGCTGTGTGGGCTCCCTAGCACCTGTTCGTCTGAATTTGCATGCAGACCCACTATGTGCTGCATGCTAAGGACAGGCCACACCTTCTTGACCTAGTCAGCACCTCCTCTGCTGGATGCCAGCCTCCCGGTCCCATGGGTAAAAAGATGCGGGCCTGGCTGCTCCTGGTCACAGCGCAAAGGGCACCTGGCTGTGCTGAACCGCCTGGTGGAGCAGGGAGCCCCTGGACATGGGCCTGGCGCAGCCTGTACTGGGAGCTGCCTGTGATGGGGCATCAAAGACGAGTGCTGTGGGCAGCAGGGACCAGCCCTAGGTTTGGGGGCCAGAAAGAGGAGCAGCCCCTGGCCCCTATTTGGAGAGAGAGTTTTCACCCTGGATTTTGAAGGCAGGATCAGGGCCCTTCGGGGAGGAGGCCTAGCTTGGATCAAGGCCCTGAGCCTCTCTTGCGTCCTGCAGGCTGGGGAGGAGCATGTCCCCTTGCATGTCCCCTCCTGAAGGTCACCGGGAAGGAGAGGGTGATGGGCCCACAGGGGAAAGCATGCCCAGCCTCAGGCCCCTGCTCCCTGGCAGCAGCTACTGCCCGCCTCCTGGCAGCCCAGGCTGAGCTGGCCAGTATGGGGCTAATGGGCCCACCAGGAGCCCTAATGCCACCCAGCCTGGCAGCTGTGGCAGGTGCAGGGCCTCCTGCAAAGGGTAGTGACCCTGTAGCTCCGGGTGGAGGTGACCACAGCCCTATCCCACCTGAGACACCAGCAGGACAGACAGACAGGCAGACAGGAGGGCTATGGGGAAGGCGGTGTGTGCTGGCAGCATGCAGCTGGGCCCAACTGGGCCTGTGCATGGGAGGGGCGAGAGGGGGGAAGGCAGACACGCTCTACCTGTGGTCAGGTCCAGAGCCGGCTGGACAGGGTCTACTCCTACACATCTCAGGACAGCTGTACTCAGGGCCCGAGGGCTGGCACAGCCACACGCACCCACACCCTCACCCAGGTGGCACCTTGGGACTGACTATGTGACTCACCAAGTCAGAACCAACAGGTGGCACCTACGGTGGCCACTTCTTGCCCAGGTGGTCACTGAGCCCGAGAGGGACAGTGGCCCGGTGCCCAGGGAGCAGTCTTTCAACAGCATCGCCCAGTGCCCTGGGTGCCCACCCTGGCCTGGGAGAGCGGCCCCTGCCTCATGGAGTGTTGACAAGCCAGGGTGCTGCAGGAGGGGCAGGGCTGGGAGGCCCCATCTCTGCCCTTCCTGGGCCTGTCCTGGGAGGTGTGTGTGGTGGGAGCGTTTGAGTCTGGGATGAGAGTCTGCTGTGTCCCAGTGAGGGTCCCCATGCCCAGAGCGGGGTGGGGGTGTGTGAGGAGCTGGACAGCAGCCCTCCAGGGAAGGGACAGGACAGCTGGGCTCCGGATGCAGGAAAGGGCTGGGGCTAGGTGGAGGGGCGGAGGAAAGAGGAGAGGCGGGCATGTGGAGAACAGGGGCTGGGACTCTTTGGTAGCCTGCCTGGGAGGAGGCGGTTAGGTGCAGGGTCATGGTGGTGGTGAGAGAGAGAGCTTGGCTGCTGTGTGTTTGGAATCCAGGGGCTGAGGAGGCCCCGGGCCCAGGGCTGGAATGGGGAGAGGGAGGAAGGGGGCGGGGACCAGCTCCGGACTCCACACTTCAAACTCACTGCTGACTCATCGGGAGCCTCTAGAGAGGGCAGAACTGTCCCTGTGGGCTTAGGAGACTGTAACTCTTTAAGGAGTAGAAAGATTCACAGTTCCCCTGCAGAGCGGCTCATGGTTTTGAACTGCTGACCTTGTGGAGAGCAGCCTAGCTCATAACCACTGCGCCACAAGGCCTCCTTAGCAATGGGTGTCATTGGCTCATTTATTTATGCACTGAAAAAACTATGTCCCCCTAGCCCCACGTCAGCTCATGCAGGGCAACACCAGCAGCCCCCAGGCCGTGGAGGTAGAAGGTCATGGTGTGGTCAGGTGGCTCAGGGGGTGGGGGTCTGGGAGCACGGGGCAGGCTGAGGAGGCCAGGAACATGGCCGTGAAACCATTGGCACCCAGCAACCTGGTCATGCACCTCTGCCACCACAGGTGACTCGGGCAGGTCTGGCTACCTGGTCCCTCCGTTCTCTGGTCAGGAAATTAGGGCTAATAATCAGACCGGCTTCTCCGTGAAGGGACTGCAGTTTGAGCAGTTGGAGGGTCACCCCACTGTGCCCACCTGCCTGTGAGGCCTTGGGTGAGCCCACCTCTCTTGAGGCTCAGCCTTCTTGTCTGAAACAGGGGTCTGCTCGCCCCTGGCCGCCCATATCTGACCCAGAGACGCCTCCAAGGTTGAAGCGGGTCTTCTTGGACCTGCGATCTCAGCCCCAGGGCCTCCTGGGAAGACCGGGAAGGACTCAGCCCTCCTCTTGTCAGCATCTCCGCGGTCAGTTTCGCAAAGGTTCCGTCTGACAAATGCTTCGGTCAAGAGAGGCCTCTCGGGCCTGCGGGCCTTCCAAGAAATCCGGCCCTCCCTTTAACAGGGGACAGCACTGGCTTCGGCGAATGCCACTTCAGACGACCTGGCTGCTCCCGAGAGACTCCACGTTCCCCCTGGGAACAGGCTCTCCTGTCTGAGCCCGTTCCCCAGCACTGGAGGGTGGGGGCGGGGGAGCCTTCAATGCTTGCTGCAACAGTGACCGGCTCTTCTCCACAGAGCCCCAGCACCTCCAGGGGGACTGGGCATGCCCTCAGCCCTGCTGAGAGGCGGCAGGCTGAAGGGGGCTGCTGTCAGTGCCTTGGTGCCTACCTTGATGTTGTCCTGCCAGCGGTGGGCTTTCTGGAAGTTCTCCGCGGCGTCGGCCAGTCTCTGGGGGTGGGGGTGTGGGGGGAGAGCAGAGGTCAGGGGCGGAGTAAGGCAGCCCACCGGGGGGCGTCTCTCACCCTTCTCCACCCAGGGAGGGTCAGGGACCCTCCATCCCACCGGGGACTCCTTGTTTTCCTTTTTACGTTTTGTGGTGGTTTGGGTGAAAGTTTACAGAGAAACCTGTTTCCCATTCGGTAATGTGGATACGTGCTGCTCGTGACACCAGTGGCAATCCCCTCAATGTAACAGCGCCCCCCACTTTCTCCCAGCACCCCCCATTTCCGACCGTCCTTTTTCCTCCCCCTTCCTGCCTCCTGGGCTTCATTTTTGGGGGAACGCTGCCCTTCAGCCCCATATAGCTAGTGGTCCTACGGCGTGTGCGCGCGTGTGCGTGTGTGTGTGTGTGTGTGTGTGTGTGTGTGTGTGTCAGGTCACAGGCCCGGTGACCGGAGCCAGACCGTGACTCAGTAAGATGGGAGGGGCATTGGGCGTGGGTTACGGGGTTGGTGAAGACCCCTGGGTGATCCTTGGCTGCCAGGAGAAGAAGCACCATTGTCTTAGAAGAAGGACAGCCGGGATGCTCCTGGGAGGCCGGATGGTGAGGCTCCGAGCCTCCAGACTCGGACGGGTCACCAGGGCTCCTTGGAGGAGGACATACTGCTCAGTCAGGCAGGGGTCAGCGAGGAGGAAGAAGGTCTCCATTGAGCTGGATGGACACGGGCCGGAACAATGGGCTCGGGGACGACAACAGTGTGCGGACGGCCGCAGACAGGAATGCCTTGAGCCAAGTCTGACCCCATGACCACTCACAGGAACCATGACCAGAACTGGCTGAGAGGTGATGGACCCTGGGGTGGTGGGTCTAACTGTAGGCTGGAGGGGTGTCTCAGGGCCACCTGTCTCCTTAGATCACTCAAGTCTGGTCTCATGTATACATTAAGGATCTTGAGTTTTGTTGTCTATCGCCCCCTCCTCTGCCCAGGACTTTCTACGATGACCGGGATGGCTGGCCCTGGGTCGTCTGGTCTCAGGCTAGTGGAGGCTGTGACCCGTGGGGCCCACTTGCCCCTGGAATGGATGGTCTCTTTGCAGTTTTGCTCTTCCTCACGTGCTTTGCTACAGACAGACAGGTAGTCCTTGCAACTGAGATGGCTGCTCACGAGCTTGTGAGGCCTTGGTCCACCAGAGACTCCTGGGCCTGACATGCGCAGAGCCCCCGCCCACAGCCACGTTTACACAGGAAGGGTGAGGCCTGTGCAGAGACCCAAGCGGGGGTCCCCCGCCCCGTGGGACTCCAGACCACTCGGCCCAGAGAGCTCCAAGCCCTATTGACACTCTCAAGCACCCCAAACCAGTGTCACCCCAGCATCAAGAGGAAAAAACCCCAGAGTGCCCCCTAGTCCCCAGTGGGCTCAGGGCTCAGCAGGAGGTGCCCACTCCCCACCATCCCTCTCCCTGACTTTCTGAGCCCTGTCCTGGCACCGCCGGGCTCCCCAAGCCCTCTGTGCACACAACCTGGCCCATTTTGGGGGCTCATTGCAGCCACATCTGCGGGCACGACCTGGCGCCTGGGAACAGACCGCCTTGCCCCAAGAGCTCTGCCGAGCATTGCCCATCTCAGACCCTGTCACCGAGGGCCCTGTTCGTGGCTCTGGGTCCCAACCTGGGCCACACCGGGCTCTTGCTTAGGGTCTCCTTCCAAGAAGTCTCAGGGCTTCCCAGGATGGGGCTGAGCCTGGCTCTTCCGGGCTTCCCCGAAGAGCTGTGTGTGGCAACCAAGATGACCCTACCGGACATCAGGTGCTCTGTGGGCCGACAGCACGCGTGCATCTGCCGCCGGCCTGTCGAGGGCCCGTGACAGACAAGGGCACACAGCACAGAGATGGCCAGCAGACGGCCCGAGGTCATGCAGCCTGGGCTACACTGGAGCCTAGAGCCCAGCCCTCAGCACCTGTGGCTGAGCCCCCCACCCCATGCCAGACTACCCTCTGTGGGGTCCACCAGGTCTAGTGGGGGGCTGAACAACTCAGAGGGCAGTTCTGGCCTCCTGACCCCGCCCCACGATGCCATCTGGATCCCATGAGCGCTGTCCTGGGTGGAGGCTGGGGTTTAGCTTGTAGGCCCCTGCCCCCACTCAGGAGTTCTCCCACCTTGGCATTCAGGACATCAAGGCCCACCCACTGGCCCAGACCTGACAGGCAGGCGGATTCCCAGAGGGAGGTTCTAATAGAGCCCGGCTGAGGGGATGTGGGCACGTGCAGGTATGAGGCCAGCTCTCCAGCTGGCGTCTGACACGGTGGGCATCGTGGGACCCACTCCGGGCGGGCATCACCCTCTGCTCTTCTGGGGCTGTTTCAAGGCCTTTCCTCCACCTGGGCCCGGGGGATGTGCCGAAGCCCAGGGACTGAGCCTGAGGGGCAGCTCTTGCAGAAGGGAGGGGAGGACAGTCACTCGCTGGGGTTCCATTCTCACGGAAACGCCAAGGGAAGGATGGAGAGGCCAGTCCAGATGGATACCAGGGAAGGTTCCAAACTGAGCCCTGCCCCTGAGGAGCTGTCCTCTGCTCCCTCTCAGGCCTGGCCTCTGACCCTGGGCACCACTGGCTGCGAGAATGTGCTATCCCTGTCCTCCAGCCCACCCCCACCCCCGGCCCCCTGAGCTCCATCCCTGTCCTCCAGCCCACCCCCACCCCCGGCCCCCTGAGCTCCATCCCTGTCCTCCAGCCCACCCCTACCCCCACCCCCGCCCCCTGCCTCCCTGAGCCCCTGGAATCCGGAAGATCTAAAGGCCCGGTCAGCCTGCTGACTCCTGAATAACAGCATTGCAGTCGCCATGGCGAAAGGATTACCTTTAATCCTCAGTAACGATCAAGCCATTATTATTTTTCAGTGTTACAGATCAATCAGTCCATCCCCGGGCGCTGGACGTGGGAGAACACTGCTAACTACTCAGGCCTGGTGGCATGGAGGAGGGGCCAGGGCGGCTGCATGAGGGGCCGTGGGCAGCAGGGGCCACAATCAGTCAGGCCCGCCTGCCAGCAGGAGAGGCAAGAGGGACACCCTGGCCCTCCACGTCCTGTCTGGAGGGGCGAGAGTAACCGGCAGGCCCTGCTCGTGATGCACAGCGCTGGCCGAGGTCAGTTCTGCGGAAGGTCTCACCCAGAAGCTGGCTGCCTCCTCTGCCGTCCTGTCCTTCCCGCTGGCCCCCCACCTCTGTCTCCGGTTCTGGATGCCCATTCTTGTCCCTGCTGGGACACCCTAAGCCAGCGGTTCTCAACTTCCCTCATGCCGCGACCCTTTCATACGGTTCCTCATGGGGTGGTGACCCCCCAACCATAAAATTATTCTCGTTGCTACTTCACAACTGTCATTTTGCTACTGTGATGAATTGGTGACTCCTATGAAAATGTCGTCTGACCCCCAAAGGGTTCGTGACTCACAGGTTGAGAAATGCTGCCCTAAAGGGAGGGGTCTTCAAACTTAGATCCACCTGCCTGGCCCATGATGGGCACTCAGAGCCTCAGGCTGACCCTGACCCTCCCCCAGGCTGTCTTCCACTGCCCTGCACACCCCCGTGCCCCCCCTCCCCCTGCCTGGGCAGGAGGCAAGAGAAGAAAACCAGCAGAGGGGGAGGGGCTGGAGGGCAGGGGAGAGTCCACTCTGGAGTCCCAGTTGGGAGGCAGGCCGGGCCTAGCTCAGCCCCACTTGGAGGGCTCTGAACTTTGCTGGCTCTCCCCGCCCAGGCCTTGCACACAAGCCCTCCACCCCCACCCCCGGCCCCGCCACACCCTCTCCCAGGTTCCTCTGGCCTGCCCACTCCTTGTCTTGAGTCCTAAGCTTAAACCTCACCTTCTCTTCCCAGCCCTCGCTGACCTCTGCCAGAACCCCTTGGCCAAGCCCCACCTGTCTCAGACCGGGGTCCGCAGCCCCCAAGCCCACAGCTCAATGACAGCAGTGTCTGGCACCTGGCATACAGTGGGTGCACAAGGCATGTCGGCTCACCGAAGGTTAGGGCACTGCTGGACCTGGGCTCAGACCTGGGTTGGGCCTGGCTTTGCCAGGCCAGCTGTGTGACCCCAGGCATGTGCTCAGACCTCGCTCGGGCGCGGCAAAGCCCACGCTGTCCCCCCCTCCCCCTTGGCCCCCCTCCCCCGTTGGTCACCACCACGGCATGGCGGGCGTTGGCGTGGGGCTGCTCCTGCCAAGCCCATCCCGGCAACAGCGAGCATTGCGGAGACGATGATCAGCGTTTCACTCAGCAACCACTTTCCGTTCTTACAGGAAAGGGCAGGGACACGGGCCAAGCACAGAACTCCCCTGGGGGGCAGCCCCTTGCCCTGGGCACCTTCAAATTTCACCAAGTCAAACCTGTTCCAATTGCCACAAAAGCAAGGCAGACAGTGCCTGAGCGAAAAGACTTGCATGCTGGGAGTCCACTCAGGCTCCCCGATCCTCTTCTCCATCGGCAACTCCCCAAAGACTCCCCACCACCTTCTCCTCACCTAGGAGCACTCCGGCCCAGCCAGACCATCGGAATCACTTAATAGGAATGGGTTGTTCTACTGAAGACCCCTCAACCCCCCACCCCCACCACTAGCCTGGCTTGAAGGGGCCTCGGGCACCGGCCTGTCCAGCGGTCTTAATTGGTAACAGCCACTCTCCTCGCAAGAGGCCATGCAAGGCTTAGGATAAGAGGCGCTGAGCCTGGGGGGCAGGATGCTGAGATGGGGCACTGGGGCCTGAGCTGTGCAGAAGCTGAGACTGGGACAGGAGGCCTCGGCTGGCCCAGAGCAGAGTCACAGCTTGAGAAGGAACCCGGCCCCTCGGAGGGGGGAGGAGAGGGCAAGAGACATGCCCCAGGGTACCTCCCGGGGCCACTGGTGTGGGAACCCCCCACCCTGGGAGCTGGGTTTGCTGCCACTTGCTTTTATGGGTGGCGATGTGGGATGAGCAGTTCAAACTCACCGGTCGCTCTGCGGGAGAGTTTCCGGGGGGGCTGATAGC